ACAGACGTGCACGATACAACAAAACCAGAATCTTAAAAGGGTGTAGCCGCACACAGAGGTGAGTCAAACCATGTCAGGCGGTTCTCAACTGGCCCACAGGAAGCAAGTGCCCAACCATTGAGTGGGGAGGGAATGGCCCCCGCTCCAGCCCCCAGATGGAAAGGCATGGCCAGGCAGAGACAAGATCTGGGACCACTGGGTACACTGACACCTAGCAGCATCTGCACTGCCTGGAAAATCTCCCATGGATGAGCAGGTCCATAACTCAATGAAGAATAAGATCACTGACAAAAGAATGCAAGAAAGAATATGGCAGCTAAAAATAGACATAGAAATATCTAACACACATAAGAATTTTCTATTCACCAATAACCCAAGGCTACAAATTAAAACAGTGGGGTAGTGTTTCACTTATCTAATTTGGAAAGAATAAGAAAATACCCAGTACTGGAGGCTATACCAGAGGGAGGGAGGGAGGGAGGGGATAGACATGAAGCAGGGTGTATACGTTTATAGAAGAGACTTTTTGGAAGAAAATTCAGCAATATGTATTCAAAGTCTTAAAAAGTTGCATATTTTTCACTTAGTAATTTCATTTCTAAGAATCTATCCTAAAGAAATAATAAAAGTCCTGCAGTGAAGTAAGAGAATCAATATCTTTATAAACTCGGTGTGCTCAGTAGCGTCGGACTCTTTGTAACCCCATGGACTGTAACCCACCAGACTCCTCTGTCCGTGGGATTTTCCAGGCAAGAGTACTGGAGTGGGTTGCCATTTCCTTCTTCAATCCCTGAGATGCTTTATATACTTTATATGATATATATTCTATATGTACTGTTTATACAAACGTTCAAATGCAAAGTTGTTATTCACAACATTGTTTACTCTAAAAAAATGGAAAATAACCCAAATAGGATATTGGTTAGGTTAATTATTGTTCACATATAAGATGGAATACTATGTAGTCATTTCAAAAATATGTCTTCTGAAAATATTAATGACATAAAACAAAACACTTCACTGTTAAGCTGAAAGTGGAAAGTTGAAGGCTACAGAAAAATATACCTATAAAACATGACCCTGATTCTGTCAAATGAAGACATCTGCATGTACAGATGCACATAAAGGGTCAGAAGGACATGCGACCACACTTGGAATGTGAGAATTACCTCCACTTTGTGCCTGTTGTGGTTTCTACATTTTCTACAATGATAGTGTATTTGTTTAGAATCCAGAAAAGCCTCCAGCAGTTGGGCTTCCCTGATAGTTTGGTTGGTTAAAGAATCTGCCTGCAATGCAGGAGACTTCAGTACAATTCCTGGGTTGGGAAGATATGCTGGAAAAGGGATAGGCTACCCACTCAAGTATTCTTGGGCTTCCTTGTGATTCAGCTGGTAAAGAATTTGCCTGCAATGCAGGAGATCTGGGTTCAATCCCTGGGCTGGGAAGATCCCCTGTAGAAGGGAAAGGCTACCCACTCCAGTATTCTGGCCTGGAGAATTCCATGGACTATATAGTCCATGGGGTCTCAAAGAGTCAGACTGAGCGACTTTCACTTTTCAGTATCTAAACCAAGCAGCCAAAACTGGATTAAAACCTTTAGTGGTGTTATTCTTCCCCCACACAATGGACACCAGAGGCCAAGGGTGTGTCACATAGCCCTGGGCCCCCGTCATCAGTACCAAGGCCACAAAACGAGAGAAACGTGGGGAAGGGGCGCGGGATGGAGAATGCTTGGCCTGCAAAGACGTCAGATGGCTTGGCAGGAGGAATGTCAGGATAGTGCATTCTTCGAGAAAACACTTCAGGTGCAGGAAACCACGTAACCAGGGCCCCAGAGGCCAAAGAGAAGATGGAAGAGACCTGCCTGCTAAGGAAGCTGGGACACCATGGACCTCACTAAGGCAGGGGTGGGGGCGGGGCGCAGTGTAGAGTGAACTGTGGAGATGGGGAAGCTGTGTTCCTTTAGACTTTTCAGGTGTATGCAGATACTGGTGGGGCTGATGAGACAGTCATATAGTGAAAGCCACTACAGAGTTCACAATGGTCCTGTGTGGCCTTCTATCTTCCCCTCACACAGCCAGTCAACTCCATGTAGACTCCTCCCCAGCACTGGACTTCCTGCTATCCCTCTGAAGGGCCAAGACTGCTCCCCTTGGCCTGAGACATTCTCCCCAGACATCTGCATAGCCCCTTCCCACTGCAGGTCTTCTGGGAAGAGAGGAAAAAGTCAGATTGAGTGGGAAATGGCAGCGCCGTTACCAGAACTGGGGAGTCAGAAGTGCATGCAGCTGGCTGGGAGAGGAACAGATAAATCACAAGTATTTGACAGAAATGCTGGGTAGAGTTAGGGGCTACCTGATGGGGGAGAGCCATCAGGTCCAGACAGTTTCTCTGTCTCAAGGCTTTGGGAATTGACCAGCTGTGGCAGAGGGCTAACACCAACAATTCTGAGAGGATGAGAGACAGTTTCCAGACCCGAAATCCTAAAATGCCAGAGTCCTGATCTGCAGTGCTTAGCTCTTACAACTGTGGGTGCTCTGCAGTTTAGAGGTGCTTTCCCATTCATTGCCTCATTTGATCCTGTCAGGCTACAGAATAGGTTCAGTAACCATTGTACAGATGAAATAACTAAGGCTCAGAAAAGTTAAATGACGTGCCTGAAAGCTCACAAGGTTGGTGGCAGAACTGGCTGGATTTTGGCACGATTTTCTCCATATGCAAACCCAGGTGTTACGGCGAACCATTTAGATTGGATAAAGACTTCACTGTCATAATGGTTTGCCTCCCATATTTTGACAAGAGCAGCTGGAATAAGGCTCCCTGCAGAGGTGGACCCTGTGAGTGGGTGAGAGAGCGGTACAGAACGGGGAGCCATGGGGCCCCACTGGATAAACAGTAAGACAAGCCACCTTATCCTAAAGGGTCTGGGGCGGTGGTGGTGTGTGTATAACCAGCCAGCCCAGCAGGGCCCAGCCTGGTGTGGCCCTCCAGGACTGTTCCCAAATTCAACCAAAACTTCCCCCCTCTGCCACTCACCCCTGGCGGAGCAGTTACTGCATCTGAACTTGAACCCAGGCTCAGGCCATGGGGCAGCCCTCCTTCTTCACTGGGGGTCAAGGAGGAGGGGCAGCCTGAGGTAACCCACTGGGCCACCAGCACACCCACGGCTTCCCGTTCCCCAGGAGACGCAAAGGCAGACTCATACTCTACAGGCCTCAGGGGTCCACGGTGTCCAGAGTGCAGGACTACAGGATAAAGGCTGGTGAGGGCATTTCCTCCAGGGCTAGCCCTCCAGAGTTGCATCTGATCAGGCAGATGCCGGCCACCATGGCTGCGGAGCCCAGGGAATTTGGCCAGTGAGATTCGTGAACAGCCTGTGCTGTTCATCACTTACAACCAAACAGCCACCTTGCAAGGGTGAAAGGCCGCCAGGAGGTCCCCTCACGATGGAAGTGGTCCTCGTGGAGACTGCTGGGCCTCAGGAATGCATGCATGACAAACTGTGACCTAAAAACCCCGCAGGCCCTGGATGTGACACTGTGATACAAGATGGTACCTGTGGGGAAGTCTCTGTGTTCTTTCTCACAACTGCCTGTTAATCTATGATGATCTCAAAACAAATAGTTAAAGCGAAACACCAAGGGTGCTCAGTGGCTATTGTCAAGGGACAATGAGTTTTAAGAAGACACATTCCCACTGAGTTGAAGAAACGTCAGTTATTTGGTGTTCCCACTCAGGCTTGTCGGTTCCCCCCGCCTCCCCACAACTCACAACAGTCACTTTTGATTTGGGGGTGTGGGGCGTTCTGGGGCTAAAAAGAGATGAGTGCTGGGCCAGGGTCACAGAATTAGCATTGGAGATAATTAGATATGAGGCTTCATAAATAGACTGCCCAACAAGATGTGATGAAATCCCACAACTCATTCTGTGGGGTTCCCGCAGAGAACCCCCATCCTCGGAGGAAGCCCTGGAAATCCTATGCCAAAGGACCCCACCTTGATCGGTACGGGCAGCCCAGACAGAGGCGACCGGGTTAGTCTTCCCAGAGACTAACCAGACAGCACACACGCCGGCGACCAAGTGTGCACAGAGGTGGAGGTCAGAGCTCACCCTTGGGTCTGGCCCCTCTGCCACCACTCAGGTTCTCCTCCTTGCCTGACCAAGCTAGGCTGGGGGAGCGCAGAGAAAGGGCGAAAGCCGCATCCCAGGCAGCAGTAAGCCCGAGGGCCCCTCCTCCAGGACCCTGAACAACTGCTGCTCTTCCTCTGCGGCAAGGTCCACCCCTGAGACCCTAGCAGACAAAAGCTTCTGCCGCGAAGGTGCCGCCCCCGCAACGGGCAGAAGCGCCAGATCCTATCAGCCAATTATCCAAACGCGCACAGCCACCCGCAAGTTTGGGCACGCTTGGGCCGGGGCGCGGGCTGCGGGAGGGGCCGCCGGTCCGGCGCGCCCGGGGAATCTGGGCCTGGGCGCGTCGGGAGGCTGAGGGGCTGGTACGCAGGGCCGTGCTGGGGACCGGGGGTCCGGTCCGGGGATCGAGGACCCGCTGCCTGTCTCCCCCTCGCCGGTTCCGAGGCTCCTCCGCTGCGTAGGAGGCGGCGCAGCCAGGGCCCTCCCCCGGCCCGGGCCCCCAAGGCCCCTCCAGGGCCCCGAATCCGTTCAGCCCCCGGGTCGCCCCGGAAACATCGCCCCTCCACCGCGCGGTGCGGATGGCCGCCGGCTTGTGGAACAAAAGAGCCACTCTCGCGAAGGGTCCGGCGGCCGCGCGGCCCTCCGAGCGCCGAGGCTCGAGCCGAACCTTACCGGGCTGCCGGGCTTTGTGCGCGCGCAGGGGCGGGAAGGACTGCGGGACCCCCCGGCGCATCTCACGGACGCGCGCCGCGCTCCGAAGTTGTGGCCGGCGCCGGCCCCTCTCGCGCCGCCCAGTCCCCTTCGGGGTCCCCATTCATTCGTGGGGCGGGGGGGGGGGGTGCGCAGACTGCCGGCCCCCGGCTCACCTTGCTCTTGACTTCCACCGCACTGCAGTCGTAGAAGCGCAGGGTCTGAGACTTGTGGAAACTCCGGTTCATGGTTCCGGCCCCGCTTAGCCTCGGCTTCGCCCTCGCTCTTCGCTATGGGGACTGCAGAAGGACCCTGGGTGCGCCACCCGCCGCCGCGGCCCCGGCCCCGGCCCCGGCCCCGGCCCGCGCTCGCTCGGCCGCGGGGCAGCTCGAGTGCAGCGGCCCGAGCAGGGCTGGCCGCGCGCCTTGGGCACTCCAGGGGCCGCGCGCGGGAGGAGCGGGGTACGGCGGCGCGCGCCGCCCCAAGGACCCGCCCCCCGATACCCTAGAACCCACGTCCCGCCCCGAGCCCGGAGAATCCACCACCAATCCCTGCCCAGCGCCCAGAATACCCGCCGCCAGTCCCCGCCCCGGGCCCAGAGCACCGGTCCCCCGAGGACCCGCCCGGAGCCCGGAGGACCCGCCCCACGAGCCCCAAGGGCCCACGTCCCGCTCGGCGCCCCGAAGACCAGCCGCCAATCCGGTTCCCCGAGGACCGGCCCGGCGCCGAGAAAACCCGGCTCGCATCCCTGGGACCAGCCCCACGAGCCTCAAGGCCCAGCCTCGCGCCCTGAGGACCCACCCTCCGAGTCTAGAGGACCCGCCCCCCCGTCCCAAGGACTCATCAGACGCCCCACCCAGGGCTCGTCGGCCCGCCCCCGGAGAAGTCGCCGCCAGTCCCCTCCCCGAGCCCCGCCCACGGGCCCGCCCCCGAGGACGCCTCTCCCCGGTGGGTGCTCACTCCCGTCCACAAAATCAAGAGCCGGGGAGAGAAGCCCGGTTGACCCTCCCGGGACGCCCCATTCCCAGCTCGGCGCCCACACTTTTTCTCCCTTGCTCTCTTCCGCCAAGATTTTGTTAGCATCCCGCTGTCGTCCAGGAAAGGGGTCTGTTTTGGCTGATTTTTAACGTTGTCTTGGGTGATACCGGACTCATGGAGGCCTGACCCCCTTGGGTCCACCTGTCCGTTAGAGCTGCCAGGTGGTAGATGGTTTGGGCAGAGGTGCTGCAGGGAGGCAAAATCCTAAGGCGTAGTCTAACACAGGCCAAAGGAAAAGGGTTCGGAAGGGTCAGAAGCAGCTATAGGCCTGTCTGATGAGAAGGAAGACTTCTGCCAGGGCTGGTAGAAGCAAGAAACTGTTAGAAGAAAGACGTCGTCAGTTGTGAGCAATGTCATGGGTGCTTCCTATCTAGAGCGCTCTGGAAGCCGGGCTGCGGAAACCGAAATCCTCGCTCTTGAGGAATCTCTGATGAATCCAAGAACACAGGACAAGTAGGTGCTTCAAGACTGCTGTGAAGCGTGCTACACAAATTTATAATCCAATTTAGTAGATTATATCACTTTTTCGTAGTTGCATTCATAGGAGAAAAAGGAAGAAGAAATACAAACGTGTTAATTATACATACAGAGGGGTGTATTAGTTAAATTTATGGTTTTAAATGTAATAAAAAACAGAACAAAAATATAGCCTTTCCAAAATTTCAGAACATTCTATGTATATATAAAGTGTGAAACTAATGCAAACATATTGTGAAATACTTATAAAATTCTCTAGATAGGGACTTACCTGGTGGCCCAGTGGTTAAGAATTTACCTTCCAATGCAGGGGACGGGGTTTCTATCCTTGGCCAGGCAGCCGAGGTCCCACATGCTGCTGGGCGACTAAAGGTGCATGTGCAGCAGGAGGAGCTGCAGACTGTAGTGCAAAGCCCCTGCAGCCAGAAAGCAGTTCCACAGACAGAAAACACAATGTAAAATAAATAGGAACTGAGAGTATATATATCTGCATGCCTATAAACGTGGATGAGATAAAACACACCTAGTTTAAGGCTTTCAGGTTTGTTCATTAAGTAATACCCAGTCAAAAATGGTAAAGGAGATACAACTACAACAAAGTGACATAGAAAGGATGAAATTTAAAATATCAGTGAAAGAGAGAAAATGGGGTTTTTAATTTAAGATTATGTGGCTTTAGGGACAAAGGCATTACCCTATTTAATGGAAATGAGATACCACAGATGAGAGGATTAAAAAAAATCATATGGACAAAATTTTTTTTTAATGATAATGTTATTCCTTATTCCTGTTAAGTTTACTCAGTTGGTATAAACTCTTTTCACCAGACTTTGGAATCTCTTACATGATATTTAAGTAAAAGGCTCTATTTTTTGGGACACACACACAAGATGAGCCTTTATAATGAAAATGGTGGTATGCCAACATGAAGATCTAATACATGTAAATACTGCATTGATTAGCATTCACAAAATAAAATGACAGGAAATAGAATGTGAAACTAACTACTGTACCTTTGTTAAAGTGCACTGTGCTGTGCTAAGTTGCTTCAGTCATGTCTGACTCTTTGCAACCCTATGGACTGTAGCCCGCCAGGCTTCTCTGTCTGTGAGATTCTCCAGGCAAGAATACTGGAGTGGGTTGCCATGCTCTCCTCTAGAGGATCTTCCCACTCCAGGGATCTAACTGTGTCTCCATTGTCTCCTGCATTGCAGGCGGATTCTTTACCCACCGGGGCTTCTCTGGTAGCTCAGATAGTAAACCGTCTGCCTGCAATGCAGGAGAACTGGGTTTGAACCCTGGGTCGGAAGATCCCCTGGTGAAGGAAATGGCAACCCACTCCAGTACTCTTGCCTGGAAAATTCCATGGACGGAGTAGCCTGGTAGGCTACAGTCCTTGGGGTTGCAAAGAGTCGGACACCACTGAGAAACTTCACTTTCTTTCTTTACCTGCAGAGCCATCAGGGAAGCCCATAAATTCATTGTGAAATAAATCTGGAGAATTCAAACACCAAATAGAAAAAGTTAAAATCACTCATAGTCATACTACTTAGCAATCAATTCTATTACCTTATGGTATATTTTATCTTTATTTCTTTCTCTGCATATATATTGATATATCTTACAAAATTTTGATCTATTTTTTACCTCATGTTATATAAAAAGCATTTTCATTAAATGTTCTTAGAAAATATTGTTTTTAATATTTGAATATAGATATAATTTTAATCATTCCATTACTGGATATTTAGAATGTTTCCAATGTTTAGATTTTATATAATGCTGTTTCTTGAATTTACTTATTTCTGATTTCTTTAGAATCAACTCCTAAACATGAAAATACTAGGCCATAAAGCACACATATCTCTAACCTCTTCAATACAGATTGCAAAATGCAGTACTTAAATTTAATTTTTATTTCTTTTTAATAAATATGCTGTTGCATGCCAGGGACTCTGATCAGAGAGGCAGCGATTTACAGTCCCTGCTCTTAAGAGAAACAGCAGGCTGGCCAGAACTTGAGTTCCAGAACAAGCGAAGTAAGCAGGCAGACAGAAGAAATGCTGAGAGATTTCCACAGAGTCAAGAGGAGACTATTCCAGATAGCACACTGAGCATGAGCGTTGTTCTGACAGCTAGAAAGGACTGGGATCAGCCTGTCATCTACAAGAAGTCTCATACATTCCAGGTAGAATGAAAAAATGTCAAAGATACACACTGGGCAAGTAGCAGAGCAAACTGTTTACAGAAGTGATGACTTTCTCTCAGAGGGAAATTTCCTAAGCTGAATGCAGGTTTTTGGCCCCACAGACAGTCGCAGGTTGCTGCTGCCGCTCGTCCCCTGGGGGTAGGAACAGCTCCGGGCATGCTCATGGGGTGCTCCCGCCCAAAAGTTCTAAGAAGGAGGGAGAGAGGCTGAGGGCAGATGCCAGCTCCCCGGGTCGGGGAGAGAGGAGGCTGAGGCCACAGGACTTGGTGGAGCAGCGGTCACCTCTGCCATGCTGGTGGCCCATGGGCAGAGCCCCGCCATGTCTGCTTGGTGCTGTCAGTGACCCCCAGGCCCCCTGTGGCCTTTCCTACCCATCTCTCCTCTCCTCTGTTGTAGTCTCTCGTTGGTTGGTGCGATCAGCAGGAGGAAAAGCTGGGAACGCTGGCTGGTTGTGCGTGGAGGCTGAGCGTTCAGCTGAGCCTTGAACAAGGTCATTGAGGGCTTCAAGCCTGTGGGTAGGTTCAGTGTAGACAATCAACTTGCCTAGCAGAGCCTTCCAGTGGGAAAATCTCTTCAAAGTCCAGAAGCTTGGTTGAAAACCTCCCTGTGCGTCCTGACCTGACTGGCACCGTGGGGTCACGGAGCCTTGGGAGGCCTCACTGGGCCTCACTTGGGTGTCTGTGGCTGGCAGGTCCACACTTGCCCCACAAGCCTGACATAAGATGCGGTTCTGTTAGTTATCACTGAGCTGGCTGCCTCAGTGAGGTGTCCAGAGCTGTGAGTGCAGTTGAATGAGGAGGCCCTCAGCAGAGGGCTGGGAGCATGGGGAGGCCTTTTACTTCAGTCGTGTGTCCTGCAGGCACCTATGAGGGGCCTGGGTCTAGGCTGTCCTCTCGGCTGAGCCTTGGCCTTCTTTTTTGTGAGGTGGGCTCCATGGCTCTTCCCTCACCCACTTCATGGCCGTATCCTGGCAGCAAAAGGACACCATGTAGCCCCACTTTGAAGTCTTTAAAGAGGTCTGTCAGTCAGAGTGGCTGTACCTTCCCTGGGCCACAGCTGCATCATGTGGAGAGGGTTTTGGGAGTGTGCACGGCCCAGCAGAGGTGTGTCTACACGGAAGGCCCAGCTGCAGAGATGCACACTCCCCATGTGTACATGGTTACAGACCTGTTGCAGACAGAGACCAAGAAGGAAAATGGGCAGGTGTAGGGGTGCAGTCCTCCTCATGTCTATGGCTTCAAATAACCCATCTGAAAGTGGTACCCCATCCCCTCTGTATCAAAGGAAACATGCCACAGACCCAGGGAAATATGTTTCCCCAAAGTCCTGGTTATGCCCTCACAGTCGTCAGTATCCAAAATGGAAGTAGCAATAGACTTAAAATCTTAACCTCTAGGGACTTCTCTGGTGATCCTGTGGCTAAGACTCCACACTCCCAATGCAGGGGGCCCAGGTTCGATCCCTAGTCAGGGAACTAGATCCCACAGGCTGCAACCCAGAAAGCATATCCTGCAACTAAACGTCCTGCATGCTGCATCTAAGAACCGGTGCAGCCGAATAAATAAATGGAAAAAAAGGATATCTTAAAAAAAAACTTCTATGTATTTGAAGACCAAAGGTGTTTCATCAGAATGAAAAGGGATTTAATAATGAAAACACAGAGATAAATTGTTAAGACCCTGATAACAGAGAGGAGAAATGTCAACCTCACATGAGTTACTGAATCAGAGGTTAGGAGTTTTGGATGCCAACTGCAGTGTAGAAGAGACTCCAGTCCCACCCCCAACTCCAGAGTGCCTGGTGAGTTCTGCCTGAGGGCGCCCGGGGCTGACCAGTGCAGGGGGGCAAGTGTGGGGCTCCAGAGCAGAACCATGTGGCCCTCCCTGCTGGGACACTCTGACCCAGGACAGCCCTACACAGAGCAGTTCAGTCCAGAATGTCAGCAACTCTGAGGGGGAGACGCCTAGGCATGCTCTAGTGCCGGCCTTCAGGGAAGGACAGCCCATTCCTCTCCCTGCCCAC